TAATTCAGGACGTATTTGAGGAAGATCGTGAACGTGAATTTGAACTAAACATACATGTAATATTAGAAGGCATCTAACAATAATTGATACGCCATGAAACTCTTTTGGGTTAACTGCATATTGCCACTCTGCCAACTGTTTTTCTCACCAGATGCTATAAAATATCAGTCATTTGGGCTTGTAGATAAAAAGGAGTTACTCTGAGAATCAAAAACAACACTGTAAGTGAAAACGAAAATGCCTGGCAAAAACTAAAAAGTCCACACAATTATGAAATTATTATGGGTAGGATTGGAAGTTTAGTTAGACCAAGAACTCATTCCTCAAGAGTCTTTATTTGCCAAACTTATGTCTTAGTCACATTATACTTCAATAATTAAGACTCCAACCAAAATCCAGTCTGTAAGGTGTTAATGTAAGATGTTTATTAGTGTAATTTATTCAGCACAATGATCACATTAAAATGTCCCAATATACAAACTGTTAAAGTCTGAAGTCACAAAAAATATAAACTCAGGTGCATGAACGAAGTTATATAAAATATTATTTGTAAACAATATTCTACATCTTCAACATTGGGCCGAAAAAGGAAAAAAAAAGAGAGAGAGAGAGAGAGAGAGATTATATATAATAAATATCATATTCCAACAGAGCAACCCTGACCAGTCTGGTAACCTCACACTTGGGCGTGATCACGATGGCAACACAGCATTTCCTTACAGCACTGGCTACTTTATACAAAGCTATATGCAAAAAAAATGAAACATCCTAGTGAAACAGACAAAGCTAACAATATATACCACATTTTAGCTGGCTAGTAGTAGAAAATTTCAATTCCATTAAAAAAATTTTTTTAAAAAGTCAAGCAAAAACACAGCAAAATGGAAATAAAAGTGAAATAAATCAATGTAATAATGGAGTGTGTGTCCCTTTGACCACTGCCAGAGCAGAGCTGCACCCAGGCTTCTCCAAACACCTGTCACTTAGACAAGCTGTAGAGACCGGTGAGAGGTGATAGAAAAAATGTCAATTATGATCCTTAAAAAGTTAGCACTACCAGTTTAAAAATTTCCCGAGCCAAAAAACTAAAGCCAAACCAACCAACCACACACAAAGAATCAAGAAACATACCGAACAACTGCACACCAAAGGGAAAATGCTATGTTCTATTTGATGGGTGCTCTCCCGTGGTTAAGAGTTTTCATATTTTATCAACTGCTTAGAAGGGAAACATCAGCATTTCCCTCTAAAATGTGCCTCCTCTGGGAATCTTCTCTCCAAGAACTCACAGGAGGAATTCTTGGCAGCATGACCCCTGTTAATGATAAGAGGGAATGAATGCTTCCTAAATTCCGGAAGTCACAGGGACTCCGTTGAAACTTCCATAATATTCTGATTTTTCCATCTCAAAAGCAGTCTTATGTCAGAAGATCTAAAATAATGTACATCTCAAAATCTCCCTCAGAATATACGGCCAATTATTTAATTTGAAATATTAATATTCATATTTATATTAATAATATAAATATTATTTAATTTGAAACAATATCTTGGTGATTGTGATAACCTCCACAATCAGTAAGAGGATAGAAAATTAGAGAGTATTTCTCATTCTGGATCTTAAACCAGAACTCCTTTAAGATTTCAAAACATGGTCCAGGTTTTATATTCTATTTCTCAAAATCCAATCAAAGCTTATTATCTGAAAATTTCTGCAGTACTTCTTCCAAATGGTTCTTCCAGGTTTTTTAGCTCTTAGTGTGGGAAAATGAGGAGTGAGAATGAAAAAGTCCCAATGGGACAACCCTCAGAATACACGGAGTATAAATGCTAATGTTCATGGTAAAGGTCTTCACATGTGGTCCACCAATCCCACTGGTATGCTGCTCCAGAGATCAAAGGGATCCTGGACACTACCTGAACTGAGTGTGAGTCCAATCTGATAACCATTTCATTAGAAAACAGATAAGCTGGTTGTGGTTCTTCAGTGCACTGCAATGTACTTTCATTCTCATGTTTTTATACAAGAGGTTGTTTTCTATCTGTATCAATATCCCAGTAGTCTGACAATACAGGGTTGCATTTTAACTTCTCAGTTCTTGTTTTGATAGCTCATGATCATGTTATGAAAGTAACTTTGCTTATAAAATTTCAGAGACAATAAAAGGTTGTCAGATTTTCAAGAAAATCTAAGACTCTAGACAAATAAACCATAATTTCGTCATAGAAACCATTTCAGCCCAACTTGCAAATAACAAAATATGGTTTAATTTGAGGAAATGCTTTTCAAAGTTTAATCAGAGCTACTCTAAATGAGAAAACTTTAAATTAAAATTGCTATCGTCATTCAGATTTTAGTAAGCTGGAGAGATACATAGGTAGCCTAAAAGATTACCCTTCCCTAAAAGCAAGCTCACAGAGGAAGAGAGGAGGGGGAGGAAAAGGGAGGGTCGACTGCAGTACTGGTGGACTCAATCCCTTTATGAAAGCACACATTCTCATTTGGTGTTATGAGATCCTGATTCATTATGAAGATCTGAAAACCAAATGGAAAAGGCCAACTCAAAATGTTTAAAGAAAAGAAAAAAACGCAAGAATGAATAAAATGATAAAATGGGTTTTAAAAGAGAACAAGAAATAAAAGACCTTGGATGACCTTTATAAAATACTAAAAATTAAAAATAATTCATCTTGTACTTTGTGCTCACAAAGGGAAAGGAGGTTCCATCAAGCCCTGCAGAGCACAAAAGGAAGCAGGTGGTTTGCTCAGGCATCAGCAGAAAGGCCCCGAAGAACTACCCTCCGCCTCTTCTACACCGTGTCCAGGAAGGAAAAGCAAAGCTCTGCAAAATGCTGAAGGTTTTAGAAGTGTAACGGTGCTTAGGAAAGATCACTGGTCTGGTGTTGCAGCAGCCCCAGTGTGGAGAGACACGTTAGGCTTCTAGGAGGAGAAAAATAGAAAGGGAGGAAGAAGTAGGAAGGGAAAGGAAAGGGCAGAAAAGCACAGGTCATTAGTAAACAGCAAGTTCAACATAGCAAGATGCTCATAAACCCTTTATAAGCTATCAGTGGAGCTGGTCTGCGATTAGGACTAGAGACATCCTGAACGAAATAGAAATGGGAATTTTCAAAATGGCAATGAGCTACGTGCTCTAGTTTAGTAATGGCCAAATTAGAATGAGGTCACAACATGCTCCAGAAACATGCATTCTCTGTCCCCTCCCACTCCTTCCCATCCCCAGTGAAACATGCATATTTTCAAGTGGTCAAATTCAGAATGCGAACATCTTGCCGTATGCAAACTATATTCTACCTGTTGCCATAATGTCGTTGGGTAGTTCATAAATATCTAGGTTCTTTTTTGCCACCAGGGAACTAATAGTCTTGAAACAGTAAGGGCCAGGCTGTATGTTTTTCCTGTTCTTTTTTTTTCCTGTGCTCTAAGAGTTGGCCATGGGAAGCAATTACTACACAAAGTCTCTTCTGGTCATACCTGACATCTTGCTGGAGAAATCTACCCTAGTTTTGATAGCTATTTCTTTTCTGGATGAAAATGGCATCCACTCTTCCAAATGGCTAATCAAGTCAATCCCCTCCAAGCCTTTCCTTTCCCTGGCACTACCTCCTTGTTAAAGAAAGCTGAACTTACCCATTTTTTTTAAAAGTTCATGTTCAAGCTTCTCCTTTAATCACAGAGACATTTCCATAAATGTATCCTTAAAACTATACTACATAGATGACTTTGCTTTCAAAGCAGGCACAGGAACAGTCAATAACACAACAAAGATTATCAAAGAAATACAAAAAATTCAGTTCACAGAACTGGAAGATGAGGTGGCACTTCTGGCTGCTTTTACCTTAAAGAGTCTCTGAGTTATGAGCTGCTAATAAGGATGTTAATGTCACTGGGCAAAACTAACATTCACAACAAATGGAAACCAGCCATCAGTCAATCAGAGGTCCAAAGATACATACAACATTTCCAAAGGTCACAGAATAAAGAATAAATCCTGGAGTAATCGCTTTTGCTTATAGAAGGCTTTCTGGGAGCCTTAAAAACTGAGCAATCATACGGTGGCTCAAGGAAAGTCTTCTCTAGGCTGAGGCAGTCTTACACGAGAAACATAGACACAATCGTATCTAGCACTTGCCTCCAGTGCAGTAGTGTGAATCAATGTAATGCCCCAGTTAAGAGCACACTCTGCAGCAGAGAACAATTTACTTGGCTGTTAGATGTCTGTTCATTTGGGTCAACAGTGTCAGCCTGATCACAACTGCAAAATAAGTGCAGTTATTTACAGAAATAGACATTGACTCCCCTGTCAGCTACCTGACAGAAGATGATTTGCATAGTACAACATTCCTGTGGACCTCACTACTGCTTCGAGAACTCTGCTCAAGACAAATACAGGGGGTCAGGGGTAATGAGGTGCCAGTCACGAGATGGGAAGCCACAGGGGTTCAGGGCTAGCTGATGGGAGTATCAAAGCCCTAGTTAATGGGCTAGGTATTAAGTTAAAGACAGATTTCAGAAGTTATAGTTAATGGGGGAAAAGAATAAAAGACTGAGGGCAAAATCAAACGGGAAGAACTTTTAATTTGTAGGGTCCCTAACACTGAGCCATGCATGGAAAGCAAGCTAATAAGTGCAGGAGAGAAGAGCCTGTATAAAGAGCCATAGTGGCCAAAGGCCTCCAATGTAACATAGTCTGATGATGATTAGTCTGCATCTATAAGCGTATTTTTAAGTTTGATCCAGCTCTTCTGTGGTATAATTACAACAAATACTCAAGAAACAGCAAAGGAAATTCATTCATTCTTTCTGTTGTTGGAGATGTTACGTGGCAGAGGGTCCTGGACTTGAATACATCCAACAAGAACAACAATACCCTTAGAAATAGTTCAAGTGATTCACTGCCATGTTCCTTAAAGGACCTCATCAAGGTGTTTACTGCGAGTATTTCAGAACCGCATCTGGGGAATCCCGGTGAACCACTTACCCGTAGTTTCATTCCCTTCTATTCCATGGTCGCCATTGGCTAGCCCTGCTGGCTTGGAGGGAGCACCTGCAACAACCACAAAGAGTAATTACCACAGAGACAGCAACAGGGAAAACAGCTTCAGCACTATGTAACCAGGTGGAATTTGTCCCTCTTCACGGCATGAGCTTAAAGCAGGTAAAAATCTGTCCAAAATGTAAAGAGCCAATAAAAGGAAATCAAGAAACAGAACAGAACTGAGTCATTCAATTTTGCGATACCCAAACACTACAGAAGAACCTTTCTTAATAAGCAAGCTGAGGGGTGCCTGGGTGGCTCAGTGGGTTAAAGCCTCTGCCTTCGGCTCAGGTCATGATCCCAGGGTCCTCGGATCGAGCCCCGAGTTGGGCTCTCTGCCCAGCAGGAAGCCTGCTTCCTTTCCCCTCTCTCTGCCTGCCTCTCTGCCTACTTGTGATCTCTGTCACAATAAATAAATAAATAAATAAATAAATAAATAAATCTTAAAAAAAAAAAAATAAGCAAGCTGAAATCTTTTCTGTTCCGTAAACTGTCAAAGATCACCATTATATTCCACTCCAAAACCGTTTCAAAGCACCATAGGTTTTATATCTGTGAGTCAAATCCAAAGCTACAAGGGCACAGGGCCATTAAAAACAATTCCCACATCAAAAGTCCAGGGTTTCATCCTCACTCCTCCTGAGGATGAGAATTGCCTGGTCACCAGGATCACCTCTGGAAGCAGAGAACTATTTTTGTTTTTCTTTTAATCTTAGTTGTTCTAATATAGTTGTGTCTCATTCCCTAATGACTAAAGATGTTGAGCATCTCTGCATGTTTATTTGCCATCCCTTTCTTTAGTGAATTGAATGGTCAAATTTTTTCATCGTTTTTATTTGGGTTGTTTTTTTTTTTCTTATTATTTAGTTCTGAGGACTCCTTACATATTCTGAATACCAACCCTTCATCAGATGAATTCTGCAAATATTTCCTCCCAGCCTATAACTTGCATTTTCATTCTTTTAGCCATGTCTTTGCAGAGCAAAAGTTTAAATTCTGATGAACACTAATTTTCCACTTTTCCCCTCATGCTTTTTTTATGTTTTCAGTGAAGTATCTAAGAAATCCCTGTCTAGGGCCACCTGGGTGGCCCAGTCAGTTGTGTGACTGACTCTTGATTTCAGCTCAGGTCTTGATCTCAGGGTTGTAAGTTCGAGCCCCACACTGGCTCTGTGTGGAGAGTGGAGCCTACTTAGAAATTTAAAAACTTTAAAAAAAATCTTTGTCTAACCCAAGGTCACAGGATTTTCTCCTATGTTTTCCTCTAGAACTCTGTAAGTTTTCAAAATTTAGGCGATAAATTTCATATATGACAGAAAATATGGGTCTAGATTTATATTTTTGCATATGGACATCTAATCATTCCTGTATCATTTGTTGAAAAGACTATCCTTATTCCACTTAACTGCCTTTGCACCTTTGTTGAAAAATCAATATACCATACCATGTATGGATCTATTCTGGACTCTCTCTCTTCTATTCCACCAGCCTGTAAATCTCTTCATTTTTCCAGTACTATATCACCTTGATTACTGAATTTGTATAGTCCTTAACAGAGGTCGTGACAGTCCTCTTAATTGGGTGTTTTCCAAAATTGCTTTGGTTGTTCTAGGATATACAACCTTTTCTTAAAGGCTCTGGCTATAACATTTCAGCAACTGGTCTAGCCCTGCCATCAGCTTGCCAACCCAAGTTTCCCAATAGTCACTCAAGAACCAAACAGAGATATTTTTCATAAGACAAGTAAAAATCTAGAATGTATGCTACAAAAATATAAAATGCAAGATTTTACTTTGAAAGACAAGAAACTACGCTGCCCAACCTACTGACTCCTATAAATCCAAGGCAGAAATCTTTCATTTAAACTCACAAAAGATCTTGGATTCTGTTATCTCAGATAACAAAGGAATGGCTACAGAGAACAACCTGAAGAACAAGGCAGACTTAAAGGAGAATATGAATTACTTCCAAGAAAAAGGAATAAAAGACTGAAAGAGAATAGACTTTTATTAAATACCCACTATGCACAAGGCACCATGCTAGGGCTTCACGTATTATGTTTTACTTCTCCAGAAAGATGCCAACAGTTCTATCCCATATTTATGCCAAATATGGGACAGAACATGTTTGGCATAAATTTGCTTTTACTCCCACAAAGTAAGCTTATAAAATTTTTTCTTCCTAGCTCAAGAAAGAATACATATTTTAAAAATCTGCCTCATTTTAAAATGCAGATTGTAAAAAAATAAAATGCAGATTACAGGAAAATGCAAATCATAAAAAATACCATCTTCTGGTCATGAGAGTGATAAAATCTTTTTAAAATTTAATAATAGCCACTGTCGGCAACCGTGTAAGAAAACAGGTAATCTCATTATACCACTGGAGGAATATAAATTGGAACATCCATTTTATGAGACAATTTGGCAGTCTATCAAATTCTGAAATACTTAACCTGACAATCCATTTTAGGTGCGTAGTTCAGAGAAAGACATAAAAGTACACAAAAATGAAAGTTAATGAGATGTTTATTATAGCATTGTTTAAATGCCCATTGACAGATTCGCTAAATTGTGAAATAATATGTAATTTTAAAAGAAATAAGGTAGCTTTTCATGTGCTGAAATGGGAAGATCAAGAAAAAAATAAAAGCATGGGGCACCTGGGTGGCTCAGTGGGTTAAAGCCTCTGCCTTCGGCCCGGGTCATGATCCCGGGGTCCTGGGATTAAGCCCTGCATCGGGCTCTCTGCTCAGCAGGGAGCCTGCTTCCCTTCCTCTCTCTCTGCCTGCCTCTCTGCCTACTTGTAATCTGTCTGTCAAATAGATAAATAAAATCTTAAAAAAAAGAAAAAAGAAAAGCAAATATGGCATAACAGCATTATAAAACACACAAACACAACACATGCACATGCACACACAAATAATCAGAAAAAAAAAAGGGGGGGGAAAGAATATGTACCAAATGCCACTGATGGGGGACCAGAGATAGGGATAACAAGGAAAACTTTCACAGACATGAGGTCCTATTTTAATTGAGCACTTTAAAGAATTACTTAAGAGGAGGGATGCCTGACTGGCTCAGTCAGTAAAGCAGTCTGAGTTTAAGCCCCACAATGGGTGTAGAGCTTACTTAATAAAAATAGTAAGGGTGCCTGGGTGGCTCAGTCAGTTAGGTGTCCAACTCTTGGGTTTTGGCTCAGGTCATGATCTCATGGGTGGTGGGACTGAGCCCCAAGCCGGGCTCCACGCTCAGCGTGGAGTCAGCTTGTCCCTCTCCCTCTGCTTCTTCCCAGCTCATGTACTTGTGCTCCTTCTCTCTCTCTCTAATAAGTAAATAAATAAAATCTTTAAAAAGGGGGGGGGGGGGCAGGGAAGATGGCTTAAAAGAATAAGGTAATAAAAGACCTAGAAATCCAATGCACCAGAAATTATAAGGAATATCCTAAGAAATGAAAGCAAATGGGATCAGGGGCGCCTGGGTGGCTCAGTGGGTTAAGCCGCTGCCTTCGGCTCGGGTCATGATCTCAGGGTCCTGGGATCGAGTCCCGCATCGGGCTCTCTGCTCAGCAGGGAGCCTGCTTCCCTCTCTCTCTCTCTCTCTCTGCCTGCCTCTCCGTCTACTTGTGATCTCTCTCTCTGTCAAATAAATAAATAAAATCTTTAAAAAAAAAAAAAAAAGAAAGAAAGCAAATGGGATCATAATGAAGAATAAACCACAGCCCAAAGGTGGTACAGGAAAGCAGGATGGCAAAGTGCTCTATGCTTATAGACAGCAGGGATGATGGGGGCTCCATTAAAAGCTGTCAGCCCCCATTCCCCCTACACTTTCCTTCTCTCACCCCTCAAGTCTGCCTTGTGCTGACCCCAGATGGAATGGCGGGCCCTCACAGCCCACCTGGCAGCGCAGTCATATCCCTGTCAGAGGCAGGAGGGAGATCTCAAACAGACAGTATTACCAAATAACAGCGAAAAACTATTACCAAAAAAGTTAAGACATCACATTCAAAGAAAATAAGTATGACTCAGGGAAACAATGTTGATACAGCAAAAAGGAGACCAAAAAAAAAAAAAAAAAACAAAAACAAAAACAAAAAAAACCCTACCTGATTTCCCTCAGAAGGATAAAAGAAACAGATTCATGAAACGAAAGCAAGCCCCCGAACAAAGTGAATTGCCTACTGACTAACAAGTCCTCTTCCAAGTTAAACAGTTTCCAATTCTTTGCTTTCATCAAAACTGAAAGAGGTCATAATGTAGGTACCTTCTGATAGGACACTGAAAATAATTTTTTTCTAAAGATTTTTTTATTTTATTATTTGACAGCCAAGAGATCCCAAACAGGCAGAGAGGCAGGCAGAGAGAGAGGGGAAAGCAGGCTCCCTGCTGAGCAGAGAGCCCGATGCAGGATTCGATCCTAAGACCCTGGTTAAAGCAGAGGCTTGAACCCACTGAGCCACCCAGGTGCCCCTCTAATTGAAAATAAATTCTAATAATATTGACTTATAGAATTCTTTTTTTTTTTTTTAAGATTTTATTTATTTGACAGAGAGAGACACAGCAAGAGAGGGAACACAAACGGGGGGAGTAGGAGAAGCAGCAGCAGGCCTCCCACCGAGCAGAGAGCCTGATGCAGGGCTCAATCCCAGGACCCTGAGATCAGGACCTGAGCTGAAGGCAGACGCTTAACAACTGAGCCACCCAGGCACCCCTGACTTATGGAATTCTTAACATATACCTCAAAGAATGGAGGATATTGCCATAATAAGACTTCCATTCCCACATACTTAGCTATGTGAATAAAATTTCTGGCTATTATGTCTATTAAAACAATAGGAAGAGGAGGGCGTCTAGGTGGCTCAGTGGTTAAGTGTCTGCCTTCAGCTCAGGTCATGATCCCAGGGTCCTGGCTTCTAGCCCCACATCCGGCACCCTGCTCAACAGGAAGCCTGCTTCTCCCTCTCCCACTCCCCCTGCTTGTGTTCCTTCTCTCGCTGTCTCTCTCTCTGTC